TGCCTGTATCAAACCAGCGCTCAACCTAAATGCGTTCAGCGTTTGCCATAACACATCCCTGTCCACTCTGTCATAAGCCTTTTCCAAGTCCATGAACGCACAAAAAACTTTTTGGTTTTTCGCCAAAAACTTCTCCGCGATCATGCGCATGGAAAAAACTTGATCTGTACACCCCATTCCCTTTCTAAATCCCGCTTGCACATCCCAAATTTTTTCATCAGTTTCTTTCATAACTCTTTCAATTAGTACCTTAGCATACAGTTTTCCCACAATGCTAAGAAGGCTGATACCACGGTAGTTTTTACAGTCCTGCTGTGACCCTTTTCCCTTATATATTGGGACTATCACGGCTTTGCACCAGTCTCCCGGTACCCGCTTTAGTTCCCAACATAAATTAAACAAGGTGTACAGCAGGCCTGCCACCACGTCCTCTCCAGCCCTTAGCATTTAGGGTGAAACTCTATCATATCCGGCTGCCTTACCTACTTTCATGCTTTTCATTGCTTTCATTATTTCATCTATACTTATCTCCCTATCTCTTTCATCTTCTTTCGGAATTTCTATTTCATTTAGTTCACACTTCTCCTCACTCATAAATTCGCTTTCAAAATATTCCTTCCATTTCTTTAGACTCAACACTTCATTATTCAGGATACAGCCATTCTCGTCTCGTATCGCATTCAATCTAGGCTATTTTGAAAGTCCCCTGGTATTTCTTACGAGTTTCCAGAACATTTTAATATTTGCCTGGATGTTATCCGATATTCTTCTGTCATTCCTATCCGTTCTTTCTTGCTTTTTCCTTTCAACTAATTCTTTTACTCTCTTATTTAAACGTTTAAACTCAGCCTTTTTTCTTTCATTCTCATCATTCTTACCGCCAGAATTACCAGCTTTGGTCGCTAGTAAATCTAGCCATGCTCTCTTCTTTGCTTCAACTTCCATACGTACCTCATCGTCCCACCATAACGTATTGTCTTTCCTTTCATTCGTTCTCTTACTAACACCACATACTTCGGTAGCTGCATCCACTAAACCTTTCTTAACATTATGCCACACATTCTCCAAGTCTAACTCATTCACACACAACTCATCCAAATTACTTATATTTTCTCTCAGTCTGCATTTGTACTTGTCTTTCACATCTTCATCTTGTAACCTCTCAATTCTTATACGCTGTAACGCAGTGGTAGACACAGATGTCCTATGCCGCCAACGTCTGAATAAACCCCTAATTCGGCATAAGACCAGGTAGTGGTCCGTCCCTACGTTGGACCCCCGGTAAACCCTTGTATCCACCACTGCGCTCCTCATTCTTTCATCCGATTTCATGCTTCTATCATCACCTCTTTCCCAAGTATACATGTGAATCTTCTTATGACGAAAGAAAGTGTTCGTCACAAAAAGATTCCTTTCCACACATATGGTGAGGAGGCTTTCACCATTCTCATTTATACTTTCATCACCAAACGTTCCCAATATCCTTTCATAACCAAGCCTCCTCACCCCAACCCTTCCATTAAAATCTCCTAGCATAATAATATTTTCATTTCCCTTACACTTCATTAACACCATCCTTACCATTTCCCAAAACTGCTCCCGGATATAAGTGGGCTTAGACATGTCTGGGGCGTAGACCCCTAACACAAACAACTTCTTTAAGCCCACTTTAATTCGTATCCATAGCAGTCTTGAGCTAACACATTCATACTCTTACACACATTGGCCCATTCTTTCTGAAAGGATGATACCTACTCCCTGGCATGCCCGCTCGATCTCGTCTACACCAGACCAGTATGCGGTATACATGCCATGTGCAGTGACATCCTTCCCCTTCCTTTTCGTCTCATTTACACATAATACATCTATTCCTCTATCATACATCATATCGCATACTTAATCCATTTTATATTTTTTAGACGGGCCTCTGCAATCCACTTTTCGCCTCTCTGGGAGACAGAACGTGACGGGTGGCGAACCTCGTCACCGGTTTTCCTCCCGGAGATTCTTCGCACCCCTGCCCCATTAAAGGGGTGCCGGGAACTCGGGGCCATTTCTTTTACTTTTTGCCTCATGGTGCGAAAACTAGGGCGTGGCATATTTTACGCCGCTACCACACGGCGAGTAGCCGAGTCTGTTCTTTCGGCTTTGTCGCTCTTTTAGCACCACCCATAATAATAGTTACGTATTTTAAACCAATTACGTAACTATTATTAGGAATTTTGTTTTAAGTTTTGTATTACCTACTTGACTACAATATGGTAGAACATTATAATCTATTTATCTATAAAAAATGTTTATAAAATATAATTAATAATTATGATCGACTCATTGTATTGACATACCTTATTATATAAGCGAAAATAAAATAAATTGTTAGTACATTTTTTTTATTGCGGTGGAGATGAGATGTAAGGAATAGATATAAGCATATTACATATAAACATATACACAATGTAACCTAATTGTAACTATTTAAGGATTGATGATTGCAAATATATTCAGTATTTACTCAGCAGTCTTGGTTTTCATTTCTCTCTCGTGTCACCACATTACAATTGTAAACTGCCAGCTCATGAGGTACCTTGAGGATCACCAGCTGATTAGTGACCGCCAATACGGTTTTCGCCGTGGTCGATCAGCTGGTGGTCTTCTGGTCTACCTAACTCACAGATGGGCGGAGGCAGTAGAGTCCAAGGAGGAGGCATTGGCCGTTAGTTTGGACATTGCGAAGGCCTTCGATCGGGTTTGGCACAAAGCGCTTCTTTTTATGGGCTTTCCGAAAAATTGTGTGATTGGATCACCAGCTTTCTTGCAGATCGGAGCATCAAGGTCGTTGTAGACGGTGCAAGCTCCGATTGCAAGCCTATTAATGCTGGTATTCCACAAGGCTGCGTGCTATCGCCAACGCTGTTTCTTCTGCATATCAATGATATGTTGCAAACCCGTAACTTTGATTGCTATGCAGATGACATTGGTGATGCTCTTTACACCGGCCGAGCCAATACTTCTTGGGAAAACGTCTCCGAGTGCCGGGACAAACTTGTGTCTGAAGTCGAGTCTTTGCTAAACAGAGACTCAGATTGGGGGCGACTAAATCTAGTCCAGTTCAACCCCCAGAGAAAACACAAGTTTCCGCGTTAACCGCTAAAAAGAACCCCTTTGTCGTATCTCCTCAGTTTCAAGGCACTCCCCTTGTTGCCTCAGCCAGTATCGGAATTCTCGGCGTCGACATATCGAGTGACGTGCAGTTTCGTGGTCACTTGGAAGAGAAGGCCAAATTGGCCTCTAAAAAGCTTGGCGTGCTCAGATGAGCGGGACAGTATTTCATGCCGGCACAACGCCTGCAACTTTACAAGGCGCAGGTTCGGCCGCACATTGAATACTGTTCCAATCTCTGGGCTGGGGCTCCCCAGTACCAGCTCCTTCAACTTGACCGCATCCAGCGCAGAGCGGCTCGAATCGTCGACGACCGAGTGCTTTCCGATCGGCTCGATTCACTGGCACTGCGAAGAGACGTTGCATCTCTTTGCATTTTCTTTCGCATATACCATGGAGAGTACTCTGGAAATTGTTCGAATTAATCCCAGCCACCAAATTTCGTGAAGCACTACGCGGCAAACGTCCCGATACCATCCACACCATCTGGATGCTTGGCGGTCCACCACTGTACGTTTCAAAAGGAGTTTTCTTCCGCTTACAACCTCTCTGTGGAATAGTTTACTACCGGCGATTTTTCCGGACCGATACGACCTGGGGACCTTCAAGAAAAGAGCTTACTCTTTTCTAAAGGGCCGGCAACGCACCAGCAATTCCCTGGTGTTGCGGTTGATCATGGACGGCGGTAGGCACTTAACATCAGGTGAACCGCATGCCCGTATGCCCCCCTCTTCAATAAAAAAAAAGGTTTATTTTAATTTTGTTCAGCATCCGATTCTGGTCGTAGTACTGGTGTCAGTAAATATGGTTGGCGATTATTCACTTCAATTAAAAGCAAGCCGTCAATTTCTCCTCCTTCCAGGTTTGTTTTTAATGTAATTGCTAGAAATATGCGATTATCATGGACTGAACCTGGTCTATGAGACACAACGTCATATAAGTCAGGACCACACACAAGTTGTTTTTTAGAGAATTTTTTCCTGTTACGGAAAATTTCAGCACTATTTCCTCCAAGCTTTTGGATGGCAACATGTGTGCAGTATATGCATCCACTTACTCCAAGAAACTGCGCAATCTAGTAAAATTTTAGTTTTTTATATATTTACTGTTTTCTGGAAAGGGGAATGCCCACCGTTCATAGACACTTCGGTCATGGGTGCCCACATATAAACATACCTACACGATGGATAAAAAAGCATGACAGTCCTCGTTAAAATTTCATTTATGTAATTTTTTCCTTAGTGAGGAATCGTCCCAGGTATTTGGTTTATTTAACCTAAGAATTTGAATTAAAGTGGCTAGGTGGAGAGGTATGTGGTTAGGTATTTCTACAAGTGCTCTAAGTTATTGGAAATTGATACGTCGCGCGAATATTGATTAACCCTTCAATTCGTAACGTTAGCGATACTTAACATTCACAATTCAAAAAATATACTGACAATATTATCGGTTCATCTTACGATTTTTTCCAATTAGTAAGTAAAGGACATCACTATGCATCCCTACCAAAATGAAATACGTAATTCTAATGTCAATTTTGACAGTACTGTGAAAAATGGCGTTCCGATCTCGAGCTGCTCCCGCACAAAAGGTTAGAATTTTTTCTTTCAAATTAATTTCGTATTTCGTGTTAAAATAACATATTATTTATGTTTTTATGATTGCATTCTACGATATTTTTTACAAATTATGAATGAGAGTATGCGCTATAACTTGTTAAAGTTCAACGTATAGTTAACATTGCGAAGATACCGATGATTACCATATTGTTATGAGTGTGGTGGAGGATGTACCCATTGCTTTTATTGGTGTTTGTGTTTTATTGGTTTATGGGTGTTCGCATGCACAATTTTGCTTTATTTTGGGGTAACCTGCGATTAGAGCGTGTGAGGAAAATACTAGCACTTGTTCCACCACAAGATGCTTCTTCCAGTGATAATAGCGAAGATGGTAATGAGGTCAATGTACTAACTGATAATACTGAATATAGTTCCGATCCCCGCTCATTAGATTCCTCGTTTGAGCGACTTAATATTTTAGAAATTGATGAGATTTTGCCGGAAGATTTAATACCATCCACACCCGCTATAAGTGAAGTACTTGCTACACACACTCCACCACAAGATCTGCCTGCACTGCAATCCATTTCTTGAATGTTATCTATGTCGCCGAACCCTGTTGCTTCAACAGTAGTCAAAGAAACACGTTCGAAAAAAAGCAATTAATTTACCTCCGAACTAATGTATATACATGTGGAAAATACCCCAAATTGCGGGGAATTTAAAGTTGATTGTTGATTTTTCGGGGATTGTTAACATGCGTGATTTTACAAATCGATAGCGGCTGATTTAGAAACTTTTTTCAAGAAATCTCAATACTTAACATTTTTATTAAGTTACTTATGAATATCGAATGACTCCCTTTTCCAATTATCTTCATTGCTCCACATTTAATTTTCGGATTTATTTCGGCAACATTTGGGTATCATTTAATGCTTTTCATTTCTTTTTTTTAATTTAACCTCTCGTCAGTCCAAAACCTTCTAAAGGTTGCTGTCAAAAAGTACGCATCTGTCCACAACCATCAGAAGGTTGCTGTTTACTTATAAACTTCAAATTCGAAACAGCCCTAGTAAAAGTATACGTATCTCCCTATAACTAGTACAACATGCAGAGAATTAAACAAAGACGGCAATTAATATCACATACGCTTCATATATGAACCATAGAAGCTTTGAAATAGTAATACATTTATTCCGTTCAGTTGCTCGTTCTGTGACGCGGTGTCGTGTGTTTACGTGCAAAGTATTAATTGTTGAAAGTGATTTCGGAAGTTAATATTAAAGATAAACATGAATAGGTAAGTCATAAATACTTTTTTATTAATTTAAAACATATTAGATGACGATTTGTACATAAATTATTCCATTTTATCAAACATTGCTTGCCATTTCGACCGCCATGTTGATACCATGTTCGTATTAATTTCAATTGTTTTAAATTAAAAGTACAATTGTGAATGGTAAACATTGTTTTAGTATCGTTAACATACATATTTACAAACATAACAATAATTACAATTGTATAGTTTCGATTAAATCTTTCATAAAACTAAAAATAACAAATTGCTTAAATATCGCGTCCACCTAGCGGGCGCGGACAGACATGGGTCGTAAAGTTATTGACATGAAATCCGCCATCTTAGAGAGCAGGTTGTATAGTATGGATACGATTTTGGGAATGCCAGTGTTGGTATATTTTTGCGATAATTTTTGGTGTGGATTTTTATTTGTTTTTCTTATTTGTTTTGTTTTATTTTTTGTCAGTAAATTGTTTTACTTTTTGTATGTGCATGTCATTATATTTTTTTGCACTTGATTGACAAGTGAAACAAGACGACCGAGGACTCGCGGTTTTTATAATAACATTCGAATGTTAATTAAAAACATAAAAAAGCAATGTAAAATAACTAATTTGTATTTCATTTTAATTTTATATTCATGATTATAATTATTAAAGAAGTCACCACAGAGCGTATCCATACTAGCATAGCAGCGTACTACGTTATACTTGGTACTTTTTGTAGTGAATGTGTAACTTTTAGTTGTTGATTTCTAACATAATTTTGTATGAAAGATGCCTTCTTTGTTTTTAACTTATAAGGAAATGTTATTAAAGGGGGACGCCCATTTTCGGCCATGGAACGCCCAACAATGTGAATTTGTTAAAAAATTATATCTTTATTTATGGTTATTAATCGCGGTATTCATTTATCCTCAAACAATGGGAATATTTTTGCACAAATTAAAAGTACCGGAAACATAATAATAAAAATTAGGTAAATCTTTATGTCATTAGTTCGTGAATAAAAAAAAGTGTTGCCAATCACAAAACACATTTAAAAAATCGATTCTCTTTTTCGATCGATTATTTACGGTGTCATCATTACAGTGCTAATATAATTTTTAAATAATTATGATGTTACGATAATTAAACAAGCGAATTACTAGCTTATTTCCAATGAATTCTTTAGAGAGTAACAAATGCTACGGCACAATTTAACTGTTAATCTTAACCGATCTTCTTTGAAAACAGATAAGAACTGTTATTCTTATCTGTTTTTAAAGAAGATCGGTTAAGTTATTCTTATCTGTTTATAACAATACATTTAAAATAGAATCATGTTATGATAACGAAACAAGTTAGTTTCCAGCTGATTTACCATGAATCCTTTAACCTTTTGAGCGCCAAAGTCGCCTATACTTGACCAACACCTGCGGGCCCTGAGCGCCAACGACGTCTATAGTTGACAAAAAACCCGGCTCCGAAAAATATGAAATATAGATATTGGAAAATTATTACAGGTATTTTAATTCTACACTCCTCAAAATAGGAATAACCCAGCAACATGTGAGTATAAAAAACAAGTCTTCTAGAGCCACAAGTACTAAGAAACATTGAACTAATAAAAATGGATTTTTATCTAAGCAAATACTATGTCCAGCACGCCAAAGTCGTCTGTGGCTGACCGCTAGTGTCAAACGCGGGAGGCATAGATTTCTTGAAAACTATCCAAAATTCAGCTCAATGGTGTTTTTTTTTCTATTATTATTGATATTTGAATAAAATTAAAGGTTAGAAACATACAACTATAATTAGCTACATGAATAAAAAAATGTTATCAGATTATCTTCGCATAATAAATCTAATGTCTCAACTCTAGCGCATCTTTAGCGCGTCATCGAAAATCAGTTCACTGGGCACCGTGATCAAGGATAGACGACACCCTGATGACGTCATAAGTGATTACCGAGAAAAGTAGAGCAATGCAACGTGAACGATTCCTCAGAACTCATTCGGATTTTGGAAAGCGTCGATGATGATGAATTTTGATTTTTGATTGATGAATTGAATTTTTGATTGATTGGTGAACAAATATGTTTATTTATTCCATGACCAAGATTTTAGTATTATAAGGCTGATTTACCTAGTGCGAATAATTATTTACAATTGTTGATTAATGAATAATTATGTACCTTTTTTTAATAATAATACAAAATTACAATTAATGTTTTTTTTTTACTTAGGGTGTGAAGAGCAATTTTTCATTTTGTGTTGTGCCGTTTTCTTTCTCAGTCTCAAAATCATCTAGCAGCGTCAGCATCATATCAAATCCCCATTGTCATAAGAGTGTAAGACTTTTCTTCTGTGCGTCACTTGGCCTACGCCTTCCCCGACACATAAAATATTATGAATCGATGTCTGTATATTTCGGTTAGATCGATTTTGAAATCGATACACAACATTCTAAGAATGTTTCAAAAAGGAAGGTCAGCTACGCCGTTGTCGTCCAGTCGCGACAGTGTCGTCATTAGGATGGAGAGTAGTGCTGTGGTTTACTACTATTTTATTGTTATTGTTTAAAAATACACTTAAAATAGAATTTAAATAAATAAAGGAAAATACATTTTAAAAAAGCGAGCAGAAGCACCTCCAAGATTATTCTCTTTTTTATGGAATTATTAATCGAATAATAATCGAATCGATATTATGATGTTATGATAATTAAAAAAGCGAATTACTAGCTGATTTACTATGAATTCTTTAGAGTATAACAAAATGCTGCTGCACAATTTAACAGTAATTGTTATCTGTTTTAACAATACATTTAAAATGGAATCATGTTATGATAATTAAACAAGTGAATTTTTAGCTGATTCACCATGAACTGTTTAGAGCATGATAATACGCTACTCCACATTTTAACTGTTCTTAAAAATACATTGAAAAAAGAATTTAAATAAATAAAAGAAAATATATTTTAAAAAGCGTGTAGAACTTAAAGCGCCTCATATATTACTTTTTTTATTAAATTACTAATCGAATAAAAATCGATATCGTTTCATTGTATTTATGCACAGATTAATCTGTGTATTTATGTTAGTTATGTGGCAACATCAAATCTGACAGCTAGGAAATATGTCATGCGAATTGGGAATGAAAATGAAATCACAATTCAACAAATAAAAAGATACTAGAGAATTCACAACTAAATAGTCGCAATTGTGTTATTTTGTTTGTTATTTTTCAAATAAATTCTCAAGAACTCATATGAAGTGAGATTGTCGATCACATTATAGTGTGACAACAGTTAAAAGTAAGTGTTTAACAGTTTTAATTTAATAATTCTAGTGCTGATATTTGATAGTGATCAATGAATGAAATGATGAAGTTGTTTTATTTTTTAACATATGCACAAGCTATATCTGACAAACATAATAGCTTATTTATAACATGGCCATAAGATTAGCTAGCTAACACCAGATAGTTACAAAATGGACAATTTTTATCAAATACCAAGAAATGAGAAAGTCGATTTTTAATTGTTTTTGGACTACTGGTAGGCAGTCAGTCCTTAATTATTAAAAATATAGGGCATTAAGTTTTAAGTAACATTTACCTATATTTGAGTTTAAAGTAAACAAATCTATTTTATTTTGTTCACTTTGTCTTATTTTTTTTATTTAATATTATTTCAGTTGCCATCGTCATCGCGTGTCATGATTGCTGGCAAAGGACTGATAAAGCAGCATCACGTTAAACTTTAGAACGGGAACCATCTGAATCATCTAGTCCGTCCTCGTTGCAATCTAAAGTGAGTAATATATTGAACCTAGAACAACAAAGCTTAGATCATACATCGTACAATATACTGCTGCCTAATTTTGTAAGACCACCACTCACACAAAATCAATGTTTTTTCCTGGTTGTAACTATTCCAATCAACTCACAGTTCCATCAACATTGCGGGTATGTCTTTTTTGAATACAATTACTATGTACCTCCAGAATGTAGAATCAGTAACTACCATTTAAATAGTAACTCTTGGTATTTACTTTTAGAATCAATATATAATCATATTAAAACATTTAGTGTAGCACAAATTATAGATTTTTCTACATTATTGTAAGATAATATTTACCATCATATTATAGACTTTGAAAGTATTCACAGTATGCCTGAATATAGTGTACATTATTATCTAGGCTTATCAAAAGCACAATAACAATAAATTCTGTCTAAAGTTCCCAAAATGTCAAGTAAACATAGTGGATGTTTTGCACTTGCTGTATATTTGATGAAAATAGGAACATGAGATAGTGATGAATGCATATCGGCATTATTGCAAGTGCCAAGAAACAAATAAGAGCGGCTCATGAATATGGCCCGTGAAATATTAAATCAGGATGTTGTTACTATGAATTTTATCCATCGTTAACACTCTCTGTGCCAAATTCCATTCAGTAATTACGATATTATATTAGAGGCAAATAATTTCTTAGCTTTCCTAGATGTTTTTGTTCTCCAAAATCCTAACAACATCATATGTCACACTGTGTATAGAAAAAAGACCCATACAAACTTATATTTAAGCGGTGAATCTCACCATCATCCTTCACAGTTAGTTACCGTGAGCAAATATTTGTTACAGAGAGCATATGGGATCTATAAGAGCAAGCACCTGGCCGCGGAGCTTCAGCACATCAAGCAGGTTCTGCACAAAATCAAGCTTCGGGTCCCACATCTACGTCACAGTGACTGAGTGAAGCCGACCGCAGTTGAGCGTGTGCTAGCTGTACTACCGTATGTCGAGGTTGTCACCCCAACCAGATAGACATACATCAGATTTGATAGATCACAAATCCTCGCGAAAGAGCCTTAATTCCTACCAAGGATGATATGTGAGGCTATTGAAATTAAAAACATCCTAATTTCAATAGAGAAGGCGGTTGGGTACTACCACCTACTTGGGACACTATAATTAATAAAATTAAAACCAAACCCAGGCATACCACTGCAAGACTTAAAGAGAGAGTAAGTTCAATCTGCATAGATTGGACTATTAAAATAATAATAAAAAGCTGAAAGTATCATGGTATCGTGGAAGGTAGGTGTCCCAATACTGACATTGGAATGGCAGTCACCTCAGTCCCCGTGACTATGGGTGCTATAAAGCACCTGAAATGTCGGGAAACAAAAGTTAAAGAAGTTAAAAGCGATAAAATTGGTAAAAGTAGTCGTTAAAAAACTGTATTTGTGAAAATAAAAACTTTTATATCATAAAAATCCCGACTTTTTTTAAACCAATTCCTTAGCCACTTCATTATTTTAATTACATATTATCGTTTCCATATGCTTTTATATGTGGGCACCAATGGCCGAAGTGTCTATGAACAGTGGGCATCCCCCTTTAGGAATATACATTCACATGTAAATAAATCACGAAATTGTTCCTTACAATTGCAAAAGTTTGAAAGCATTTTTTTAGGGTCACTTTTTCAAGTGTTTGTTACAACTAATTCATTTCTTAATAACTAAATAGTTGTAACATTTGAAACTGTTTATATTAAGAACAAAGACCAAACTATAGAATAAGTTAAGATTTAAAGCCCATTGTGCCTCAGGCGTCGTCGATATTGAAGTACAAAATGTGCCTTTTTTTGTGCCTGTTTCGGTTCATCTTAAGTGGCCCACATTATTGTCGAGCTTGTGGTGTGAAAAAACTGTACGTAGAGTTGTATTTTTTTTATTCATTATTGTAAAATGTGTTTTCGTATAGTAAATGAAGTAAATATTTATTGAAATAATTGCTTAATTTTTTAATGATTACATTTTATATTCAACAAACTGGAAAAAAATCGCTTCTAGCAATTTTACCATCGAATTTATAACATACCAAAAGGGTGAACGTACACATTTACATATATTCTATTAGCTTATTTAACAATAATTCTAACAACATATCATATTATATAGTTTCCATACATAAATATTAAGATATTTCCATTTTAATGACACGCGCCACGTAGGCAATATATCACTCGTTTAGGGTTTGACAGATGCGCCTAAGCGGCTATTTTGGCCCGGACTGCTGAGAGGTTATAGCAGAGAACCGCATGCATATAAATGCAGATACTGTGGTACTTATTTTAATTTATTAACATGAAGCGAAGAAATAAAAACTACTCCATAGAGTAAAATGTTTAGTTCTTCACAATTTATTAGTTAAAATAAAAAGACAAAAAAAGCGTATTATATTGAAAATGCCCTTCTGATAGCCCACAATGTCATAAATGGACATGTTACCATCAAGTTATTTTCAAAAAACCTTTTTAAACATATTTAACACAAAAATGTTTCCTCGTTGTAGACTAACGCCCGAAATTAATAATGTATCTCGAATCCAAGATTAACCACAATCTTGGATTGGGGCATGTCGTTCGATTAACCTTCAATCCGCATGCCAATAACTTAACTCGGCTATCCCAATTTTTTTTCGACAACAGATTGCAAGCAATCCAGGAGGGATCTCTTCCGTCCTGCCAATTCAATTCCGCCTCTTAACCGTTCCTTTTGATGAAAAATATCGATTGCATAAAACTATATTGTGTTTTAAAAAAAAATCGTTCACGTAACTATTTAAAAAATCGTTCAAAATAATGTTTGTAGTTAGAAACGAGTAACATTATGCCTAAAAATTTACGTAAAATTATAATTTCACAGTCTATTCTTGGTATTTAAGCTTTGATTTTATTTAGCTAAAATGGAACGTGTGATGTTCGGCGTCTTACGTTTGACATATTTTGATTTTGGCAGGACATTTCGATTCCATTGCGAGCTGCGACTTTAGTTATTTCCTCAAAACAAACTTAAGAAAATATTATCTTCTTGTCTCTAAAATATATATAAATCTCTTCCCTCTTCCCCTCAGACCTCTGAGGTGTTCAGACGTATCTTGTACAAAAATTATTTAAAATTATTTTCCAAAAAATACTTTAAATATTGCGTATTTATTCGAGTGCAAAAAAATAGGAGTGCATGAATGCGAGGAGGTGATATCAGTGACTGTTCCTGGTACGCGCCGAGTGCATCCGCTACGCTGACTCAGAGATGCGACCCGCCGCACAAGCGCCGCCCACCACAGCTTGCTGCCCGCCCCGGGAGGCGTAGCACCGCTTTACCAATACGCTCCGCTTACCCCGTCAACTTGCTGCGTTGAAGTCGGTAAGAAGCCTTGCCCTCTTGTGATTCATATCCCGTACACTTCTGTTGCTCTGGTATAATATGACTGAGCGGCGTAGCGAACAGATGGACCTAGAGATGTCGCTGTGCGTCTCGGAAGATGAAAAAACTCCACCAAATTTTGTAACACAAGGTACACAACAAAGACATATTCATAACTCGGATAAAATAAGACAGGATCAATTTATGGACCTAAAAGCAGAAATGGCTAAACTAATAGCAATCACAAGTAAACGTGTTGGCGAACTTCACATGTCTTAGAAATATTTTTTATCTTATTCCTCAGACATGCAGGTTTCTTCACGATGTTTTCCTTCACCGCCGAGCGCGTGGTAAATCAGCACTTAAAATTGCAATTAACAATTTCATTGGTGCCGGCGGGTATCGAACCCGGGTTACTCGCTCTGTTATATTACAGCGAGCGTTAACCATCTGAGTTACCACGGCTCCGAAATTTGGCGAGCTTTTGCAATTGAAGCACTTTCGGAGCGCTTAGACGGTAGTCTTAATTTCTAGTCGTTTTCTTGCAGGGCGTACCTAGTGAACACTTCGGTTAGTAAGCTAGCAGGCTCTAGGGGATATTTACCCGCTCACGCGGGGACGGAGGTAAAGACGAGAAGCGAGCAAGGACGGAGGGGAAAGGTTTAGGTGTTAAGAGGAAGAGGGTAGTGGGGGGGGAGTTTGGAGGGGGGAGGACACGCGCAACAATGAAGGCGCTGCCGAAGAGCTCAGGGGGCAGTTCCACGCCGTCCGGGCCAGACAGTCTGGCAACGTGGGAAACCGTAGGCTCGGGGTCTACGACCTCCTTGGAGAGCAGTACACCTGTTTCTTCGGGGAGGGTAGCCCCCGACCTCACCGCAGCGCGCCGGGCCAAGAATGCGGCGATCCCGGCCACCAGAGAGAGGTTGAAGAGGGAGAGGGAGGAGAGACGTCGGGCGGCTCAGGAGGCCGCCCCAGCACAAAAGCAGGAAGTCTCGGCACAAGTCGGTATCGGGGCACAGCCCGCCCCCGTGGTTCTGCCCGTGCCGGGGACACCCGGGAGGATAGAGACTGTGGAGAGGGCGCGGGACATTACTGAAGTACGAGCAGCCACATCCCCCCCTCAGCCAAGGGGACAACCCTGCCCCTCCTGCGGCACCGCGCGCTGCCCAGTACTTCACAGAGAGCATTGCCCAGTTCGCCACGGTCCTGGCCAATGACCTAATTGAGGACAACGGGCAGGCATCTACCCCCCTGACTGTGGGTGCCCGTGGAATAGGACTCGGCACCCTGGCCGCGGTCGGCGGGGGCTCACTTCTCAACAGGCTGGCGACGGTGGACTACGACCTTCAGGTAGCAGCCCTCCTAGTCGACGCCACTAACCGGCCTGGCAGCACCCGTACACAGATGGTGGTTGACCACCGGCTTACGGACCTTAGACGGCAGCAGGCAGCGAGGACAGGGGCAGAGGGAACAGGCACCCGGCAGTTCGTCCCGACCGCCACAAAGCAACAGACCACAGGACGTGGCATATTGGTCCCTATGGCGGCACGTATAGCGGGAAGGATGTTGGGTAGGAACGATGCGGGACGGAGCATACAGGGGTTCTTCGCCTCAGGGGCCAACAACCCCGTGTTTGCCACGGCGGTGGCGCGTGCGCTCGTGGGTAGGGTAGACGTCACTAGACTCTCACGCAAGTTAGGTTGCGTACAGGCGGAAGCCCTCGTAGCGGTGGTAGCCCTGTGGGCTGCCAGGGACTCCCCGGGGCTTACTGTCTCCGTAGAGGGTGAAGATGAGAGACCTGCGACGCGTGAAGAGGAACAGTGCAGGTTAAATCGGTTGGTAGGGATGCCTGCGGAGGAGGCCGCAGCGGAGGTGGAAAGGTCAGATGCACCGGGCGGGCGTCTGGGGTTGACGGTTACCGCCCTTATTGCAAACAAGCCATTGGCTTCGCGGGCCGTTGTCTCCAGGGTCTGTCTGTTGTGTCTGGCCTCCCACCTTTGCTGCGAGGAGGGCGAGCTTGGTGCAGGAGGATCAGAAGGGGCTGGGGAGTTCACTTTTGAGGAGGTTAGGTGTGCAATAGTTTCCCGAGGGGGGCAGGAGTGCGCGCGCACTAGCAGTGGCTGCCGCCATCCACAACAAAGAGATGCATGCGGTCAATGGAAACATTCACTATGCCACCGGTCCTAACGGCAATTGGCTGGACACGGTAGAGCGCCTGCGCAGCCTCGCAGAGGGTGGACAGGTATGTATGGCGGCCAGGGAGGAGCGTGGGTGACGCACTGAAAGAGGCAGAGGGGAGCTTCCAGTAATGACGCTACAGACCACTCTCCTGGGAGGATCACAGAGCACAACACCGCCAGCCACCCAGCACTGCTACTTAGGGCGGGCCGATGTATTAATAGACGGCGCTGAGAGGGAGGTGCCTGCTCCGACCCAGGCCTCCGCCTCAAGCGAGACACCAGCAGGCCCTTCTGACCAGAGGGACAAAGCGCCTGGCACACCTGATGCTGCTGGGGGATGTTCCGAGGAGGAAAGTTCCCAGAGCGAGCCAGCGACGGTGGTAGGGAAACTAAGACGTACCTTATACCGACGACCGATTGCGAAGACGTGCCCGGCTAGGGTGTACGCGGAAGAGAGGGCCATAAATACCACGCAGTATGGCTAAGGACGACCAGATATCTATTGGGCAGCTTAACCTGGGGCGGGGTGAGGTGGGCACTAAGGAGCTACCATCTCTGGCTTGTAGCCTCTGCCTGGACCTTGTTCTTGTCCAGGAGCTGTGGGCTCAATCTAGAGAATTTATTCAGTTTGGCGCGGAGCCCCAGGCAGGAATCTTGATCTCACGTGGGCATATGGGTGCGGCTGGACTGCCCCACCTCAGCAATTCCTACTGCGTGGTTTGCCATGTGGAGAAGTACGGTCTCTATCACATCTCCGCGTACTTTAAGTACAGCGATTCCATTGACCATCATATTCAACACCTACAGACCGTACTTGACCAGTTAAAGGGCAGGCGCGTTGTAAACGGAGTCGACAGCAATGCGCACTCGCCACTCTGGTACAGTGAGATGGCCCAAACAGTGGGAAGAGGGCATGAAGCAGAGAACCGCCGGATAGCTACGGAAGATTTCATCGTGTCGCGAGGTCTCACCCTGGCCAACGTGGAGGGACAACCGCCCACGTTCGCTGGGGCCAGGGGTGAATCTAACATCGATTTAACCCTCGCGACCAGAGGTGTCACAATATCAGAGTGGCGAGTACTGGATTGCGCCAGTATGAACGACCATCGCCTCATTACTTTCAAGATCGCAAGAGAGCGACATGCGGAGCTCGCGGGGCCGGTGGAGGTGCCCGCCCGTTTTCGTGATCGGGGGGTTGACTGGCGGTATTTCCGCGGTACAATTCATTTAAGAATGGGCAATTTGAAAGTTAAACAGCCGGCTGATCGACTCTGCGCGCAGTTTACGGATATCGTCATCCGATCTGCGGAGGACGTGCTGAGGAATGCGCGACCGAGGCGGGAAGGCGGCTATGAATGGTGGACGCCTGAACTCGATAGGATGAGAAAGAAGGTATGTAGTGCGAGGAGGGTGTGGCAGAAGACCAGAAAGAAAGGTGGCAGGTTAGAGGAACTAGCTATGGAACGATTCCATAGTATGCGAGCGAGATACCGACAGATGATGGGAGAAACGGAGTTAACTCAGTTTCGGAAAATAGCCGAAACAGGCAATATGGAACCATGGAGGCGAGCTTATCAGGTAGCTAGTGGGAGGTTCCGTCCTCCCACCAACGTGATAAATGGCATAAAGTTTGCGGAGGGATACACGGGGTTGGGAGAGGCCATGCGGGGGCTTGCTCGTGGCGCTGTGTCCGGACGACGATAGGTCTAAGGACACGGGATACCACGGGCAAGTGCGCATCATGGCAGCTCTCACTCCATCGGGGCCGACTGCCGTTCCCCCCCACCATTGGGGGTCTGGAGGGCATAGTTAGGGCTCTGTCCAACACTGCTCCGGGATTGGATGGAATCAGTGCAAGAATTGTTAAGAATGTGTGGAAAGCATCTAGGGAATTCCACTGGGTGTATTCCAAATGTGTGGAAGAGGGGGTTTTCCCCGAAGTGTGGAAGAAAGGACGCCTAATAGTGATTCCGAAAGGGAATGACAGGCCACTAACGGATCCCAAGGCGTACCGCCCGATAACGCTCCTCCCCATCTTTGGGAAATTGCTGGAGCAAGTCTTGTTGCGGTGTGCCCCGAGTTTGGTAAGGTGAATATCGAACTACCAGCGCGGGTTTTCGCCGGGTCGGTCAACAGTAACGGCGCTGCAAGATGTGCTTAGGCACTGCTCGCGAGTCGCAGCGCAAGTATGTGCAGGCCGTCTTCCTGGACATATCGGGAGCATTCGATAATGCATGGTGGCCAATGATACTGTTGAAAGCCAAACAAGGGGGGGATTCCGCTTAACATCTACCGTATGTTGGTGGGTTATTTCACCAACCGACGGGTGGGTATATTCGTAGGCGAGTGTGTCGAATGGAAACGCTCGACCATGGCTTGCCCGCAGGGATCAGTTCTTGGACCGACCCTGTGGAATCTACTGCTGGACGATTTGTTGAGGCTGCCATTCCCCTTAGGTACGAAAATGTTGGCGTATGCAGACGACGTGACACTTCTGATTGAGGCAAATTCTAGAGCTGAAATAGAAAGAGCGGCCAAATCTGCACTGGAGCTGGTATCGTCGTGGGGAGAGCGGAACCGGTTATCCTTCTCCTCCGCGAAGTCATGTACTATGACCATCAAAGAGAAGTTCCAGCGACCACCTGTCATAAAGATGGGGACGGAGTCTATAAGAAGCGTAATGTCGACTAAGGTATTAGGTGTCACGCTAGACTCAAGTCTATTTTTCATCCAGCACGCCAAGGACATGGGAGAGAGGGCTGGGAGATGTTTCGGGAAGATGTCGCGAGTTTCGGCATCTTCTTGGGGCATGCGCTATCCGGTCCTCCGTGTTCTATATAAGGGAACATATGTTCCGATAGTGACTTATGCAGCAGCTGTTTGGGTTGATCGTGTGGGGAATTATACAGTGCGCACGGCACTGCCGAGATCGCAGAGATCCTCGCTCGTGTTGCTGACGAAGGGCTATAGGACGATAAGTACTGCGGCGCTTCCGGTATTGGCCGGCGCCCTTCCGGCCGATCTGGAGGTAACTCGTTTTGGTAGGATTAACCGGATGCTTAGAAACGCTGAGAATGGGGAGTTGAGCAGGCGTAAGCGCGAAATTTGGGCTGAAGTTGTGAATGTATGGCAGGAACGATGGAAGAACGAGACGAATGGCAGGGAATTATTCTGCTTTTTCCCGGACGTGGCGGCGCGACTCAATGCAAATTGGGTCGTACCGGACTACCAAGTCTCACAGATTCTCAGTGGGCATGGATGCTTTAGGAAGAGACTGTATGATATGAAACTGGCTGAATCAAGTATGTGTGAGGATAGGCACCACGTTCTGTGGGAGTGCATGCTCTATGACGACCTGCGGTGTAAGATGATGGATGGAATAGTACGCGGAAGGATTGGCCCGGTCTACTACCCGGAACTTGTTGACGGGCAGGAGAATTTTGGCCGGCTGCGCGAGTTCGCGCACGGATGGCACGCAAGGAGGACTGCCCTGGTGAAGAATTATTCAGGTGAAGAGCGGCCCGGAACCGAAGACGTGGAGTGTTCGTCCAGCCCAGAAAGGGAGAGTGGAAACATGGGACAAGGAGTAGATTAAATAACTTGTAGAGAGTCAAGAAAGTGCGCGCGGGAAAGAGCCCTGAGCAAGTACCGCGTGCACCACTCGTGATTCGGCCCGTATAACCACAAGGTTGGTGGGGCCATGGGAGGTGGAGGGTTGTACCTTATACCGACGGCTGCGAGGATTAATCAAGAAGCCGACGACAAACGGGAAGTGGGAGGAGGAGGGTGTTGTCCTCATGCGCGAGATGGCCGCGAGCTTACCACCTGCGGCTCCTTCCCCTGACGGGGTGGGGAGCTGTGGCTCGGAGCCTGCGGCCCGCGCCTATTCTGACGTGTACTGGGTGGGGGTGGGCCAGGATGACAAGTACTCAGTTGCCACCCTCACCCCCATATTAGGCTGTCAACGGGTCATGGAGGCTGAGAGGGACCCTGGAGTCCGGGATGAACGTATCAACCCATCCCTCAGCCGGGCCACGTGTAGCTTCGTCGCCGGAGGGGCCCGGCTGCAGACTGCGGTGGGCAACTCAGTAGGTACAGCCAAGGCGGACATCAGACTCCTTGCCTTAAAGACCCGCCTCATGGACTTACTCAGAGGGTACGGGTGCACGTTCCCTACAGGGGTACCCTGGGCAGTCCCGCTTCGAGCGGACATCCCCGCGGAGGTGGCTCTGAGGGATGTGCTTGATAATTGGCAATATACCTATACGGTCATTACCCCAAGGGCGCTCGACTTCTATATCAGAGCAGGGAGACAGGGAGAGATCGACGGGGCGTGCTTGGTCCTTACATGACCCGGGCACAGCGGTTGTGGTCTTAGATACCTCCTTATCCACGGCCAGCTGTACCTGGGCGCTTCAGGTGGTGAATGCGCTCCCTTACCCCCCTTATAACACGGCTGGAGTGGTACATCACCAACACATTCCAGGGAGCCACGGACCTTCCCATGGCATTCCTACGAAACGAGGGACTGGTGAGTATTGCCTCCCCCTGTAAAAACGCTGATCTTAGTGGTGACTTCCGGGATCTCCACGGTCCACACGGTCCCCTGAGCGGTGAGAATATTTTCGCTAAGTGTTGAGCCAATCTGTAAGTTGGTGAATCGATTTGGCTCACTATGGGACGTAATGGAGCATTGCTTGTGTATTTTTGGTAACCCATACAACTTTTGTGATTTGGCGCACGTAGGTATTATCCATTTTAAAAGACCCATACAGATAGATATTTAAACGGTGATTCTCACCACCATCCTTCACAGTTAGCTACCGTGGGTAAATCTTTGTTTCAGAGAGCACGAGGGATCTGTGACAGTAAACACCAGGCTGCCGTGCTCCAACATGTCATGAAAGTTTTGCATGACAACAAGCTTCGGGTCCCGCGCCTACGTCACAGAGAACGAGTGAAGCCAGCCACAGTCGAGCGTGTACCTGCTGAACTGCCATATGTTAGAGGAGTCACTGACAAGATTGGCTACATCTTGAAGCGCGCTTCCATCAAAACATACTTCAAGCCGCCGAAGAAGATTTAGTTTTTACCATCAATCAAGTGTAACGTCCCTCTGCAAGATGCAGGAGTGTACAAGCTTGATTGTGAATGTGGTCTCTCCTACATAGGACAAACTAAAAGATCAATTAAAACCCGCGTTAAAGAACATATGGCTGATGTGAAGAATCGACGCTTCGGGAAGTCTGCAGTCTGTGAACACGTAAAGGATCGCCCCGTCACTACATCAGATTTGATAGACCACAAATCCTCGCTAAAGAACACCGATTCCTTCCAAGGATGATTCGCGAGGCTATTGAAATCAAAAAAACATCCTAATTTCAATAGAGAAGATGGCTGGGTGCTGCCATCTGCTTGGGATCCTATAATAAATGAAATTAAATCCCAACCCAAGCATACAACTGCAAGACTTCATGATACCATAAGTACATACTGTGTAGATCGGAACAAAAGTTAAATTTTAATCTATGGTAACCGTGGTTAACTATGACATCTGGACGTTAAACATCTCAGTCCTTCCCGTGACCATGGGTGCTGTAAAGCTCTCGAAACGTCGGTTATTTAAAAAGTTAAATATACGCGATAAATTCCGTAAAAACTAGTATTATTTCAATACCACGCAGGATCCTCAAATGCTGTATACAACCAAATCGTATCAGGTGACGAAACCTGGATATACGCGTACGAACCCGAAACAAAAAACCAGTCACAAGTTTGGGTGTTCGAAAATGAGTTAAAGCCAACAAAAATTGTTCGTTCACGGAGTGTTGCAAAAAAAATGGTGGCCACGTTTGTCTCCAAAACCGTCCATGTTACGACTATTCCTCTTGAGGGACAAAGAACGGTTAATGGAGAATGGTATGCTAGCATTTGTTTCCCATAGGTCGTTTCTGAACTCCGTAATGAGAACTGCAACCGCCGCATCATCCTCCATCACGACAATGCGAGTTCTCACACCGCACACAGAACAAAAGAGTTTTTAGAGCAAGAAAACATAGAATTATTAGACCATCCGCCGTACAGCCCCGACCTAAGCCCTAATGATTTCTATACTTTCCCTAAAATAAAGAATAAATTGCGTGGACAGAGATTTTCATCACCTGAAGAAGCTGTGGACGCCTACAAAACAGCCATTTTGGAGATCCCAACTTCCGAATGGAATGGTTGCTTCAATGATTGGTTCCATCATATGGAAAAATGTGTCAAATTTCGCGGAGAATACTTCGAAAAACAATAAATACATTTTTAAATAGTAATGTTGTGTCACTTCCTTGATTCACGAAATTTAGAGTGCCGCCCTTATTATGCACCATTTGTTTGAAAGTATGCCGAAAGTGCATTCGATGTATCTTCGGGCCCGAGACAGTCTATAATTAAAAGTTCTTTTTTTATTTGCAATAGTATTTCTCCAATAGGTCTCATAATATTTTCTTGTAAACCGAAAGCTTCGTCGGCGACAAATACGTTAGGCAAAACTGGGCCTGTTATTGTTATTTTTGTATGAGCTGGAATGTTTATCGTGTTTCTTTGTAGTTTTTTGTGGAATTCAGTGTCTTCAAATACTGTCGAGTCAGCGTGTCTTCCATATGATCCAACATTTATGAAATTGAATTTATGGTCACTGTCACAAACGGCCATCAACACTAAAAAAAATAGTGTTTATAATTATAGTACAAGGAATCGCTATCAGTTTGTTTTATAAATCTTACATGTTTACCATCGATCGCCCCCAAGCAGATTGGAAAGTTGGCGCGACTTTGGAAACCACTTTTTATATTTTTCCAGTTATCTTGGGTTAGTGCTACAAAACAAATATCTTTCATATACTTCCAAATATTTTCGCAAACGTCTTTTACTATTTCCCCTATTGTACATGACGAAATTCTATAGTTGTATTCTAATTCAGTGAAAGTGCACCCTGTTGCCAAGTATCTGTGAATTTTTTTTTATTTCCAGCAAAAGCTCTTCAAAAGAAGTGTAAAGTGATGAGAGATGGCTTTAGACGTTACGTCAATTAAACAAAAAAAATTAAGAGTGGCTCGGGAACTAGTAAACTACGACAGTATGTTTACTATCATCAGTTGTCATTCTTGTTGCCATTTACGGAGGAGAAAGCCGGTACTGCAGATACTGCGATCCTTTCTTCAGGTGCAATGCTTTTTCTCATTTTGGTATCTGTCCGTTGTATTTTACGGCTTAAAATACTAACTAATTCGTCAAATGAAACCAAGGACATTCTAAAGTACTCGTAGTTGAAAAACTTTTTTAGCGTCTTCTCTCAGCTGGGGATACAAAGTATGAAATATTCCGTGCTGTTCTCTTGACTGTAGTATTGGACGCACCCACATACTACGGTGTCTTCTACGCCTACGCTTGCGTAATAGTAGTACAAGAAGCAGTGTTTCTTCATCGAAATCCATCTTGTAAATGAACTCGCATCAGTATTATTTTGCGGTCGAACACAACTGCTCCAAGCAGTCGTAGTCGACTGCATTATGCGGTCGTATTGCAGTCGTGTAAGACTTCAACGCTATCACTCTAGAGCAATCGGTCTCGACTGCAACATGCGGTCCGTCTATGTCCAGCTTTAGATGACTGGAATTTAACCCGCAAAGTCAACTTCGCGGTTACGGATAACGCCTCCAATGTTACTAATGCCGTGAAAGATCATTTTTGTAGGAAGCACTATGGCTGTTACGCCCATACTCTCAATTTAGTTTTACAAGATTCTCCAGACTATTTTAAAGACAGTTTAGGAAAAATTTAAAAAAATACCACAACTTCAGAAAAATTAAATCAGCAACAGCTTTTAAATGGAAAAGCACCGAAACGGCTAATACAAGCTATAGAAACTAGGTGGAATTCCACATTTTATATGCTAGAGCGTATCAAACGAATAAAGGATGAAGTTAAAATTACCATGGCTCTCCTCAACAAGAACTTACCCATCATTTCGGAAAAAGTGTGGTCAATATTTACAGAAATATGCCGAATTCTGAAGCCTTTTGAGGAAATGACTGCATGTATGAGTGGTGAGAAATGTGTCACTGGAAGAGATGTGATTGTGGTTACCAGAATTTTGAAGCAATCGCTTGTACCACCGAATTCCGGAAATATTGAATCATTTTTAACGCACTACGGTTCAATTTTACCAAAAGGCTAGAAAACATAGAAAAAAGTGGTACATTTTTTCTGTGCACTTTCTTAGACGCGCGGTACAAGGCGGCCGCTTTTTCGGACCCAACAGATGCGGAAAATACAAAACGTCGTGTACAAAATCACGTCCAAGGCCTGATTGCATGGAATTGGCATCGAACATCCGAAACCGATCTGTCCACGTCGTCGGCCTCAAGCAGTAGTTACAACACGGCAATTTATGTCCACCACTGTCACGAAGGAACACGGAACATCTCTTTCGAAAGCTATCAAATAGGTGCAAATGTACGTCGGCGATGACATTTTACCACGTAAAGACGCTTCTGGTAACCTGTCAAACCCTCAAGCCAGGTGGTATGGTCATCCACATATTTACCCAAACTTGTCAGAAAGTTTCAGAACCAATTGCAACATAGTCGCTATATCTGTGAGTTGTGAACGTATGTTCAGTAAGACTGACCAAATAATATCAGACAGGAGAGCCAGTTTAACCCTTCAATATGCACACGGTGGGATCGGAGCAAGGCGATATTCCGTGAAATTCCAAGCGGTCGGATCCGACCACACCCATCAACAGCACTTTAAACCATAAAAACTTATATTTAGAGACTACTTGTCTATGAAGAAGTCTGGTATTACAGGCTCCATGTGCCTTTTGTGTGAATGTGAAGGTGAATTTTCTATCCTCTAACGCAATAAAAACTCAGTTAGTCTATGGTATTTATTTATAACCTACGTTCACTTCGTACGCCTCTTAGGTGTGGCGTGTTATTCTATTGATTTTTAAATTTTCTAGTATGTTATTAGTGTTTAGTATAAATGTTTTATTATAAAATTGTTATTAAAGCTTTTGTGTAAATATACTTTATCTTTTTATGTAAATAATTTCGGGTAACATATAAAAATAATTGTGATATTAACGCTACTGTCCTGCGCTAACTATGTACATATTTTACTACGAAAATACACTTAAAATCTATTTGTAATTAAGTAAAAGCACTAAAACAAGTAATATTACATAGTAAATAAACAGAAACAAGTATTACGTTGAAATTTATAATGAGTTTTACTGAAAATAAATGTACGACGAATTCCATGTTAGATTATTTTTAGCGACGCCGCGTCACGCGAAGCG